CAGAGCTGTCAGGAAAAAATCAGCCAAGGGGAACACGCAAACAGACACAAGGAATACAGAAGCAGCGGTTATGGTCAGGGACAAAAGGTTGAGGAGTTGGAAGTCTGGATGTTAAAACAAGCTGAGTTAATGTTAGCAGTAGCTCAGTGGCAGGTAAAATAGAACTTAAATATGTACAGTTGTTGATTATGATGCTATATCTATTTTCATTTAAACTAGTTAGCAAAGCAATTGTACTGCTAGCCTACAGGGCTCACGATGCAGTACCCTGTGTAGTCAAACCTTTATGCTACAAGCGTTGCTGCAGTTTGGTCGGTGTACCTTCCGTTCATTCTATTTCCAATTCTGAAATGCAAATCAGAAAGCAAAAAAACAGGCATTTTTAGTTTTCCAATATATGTAGCAGACTTTAAAACAACCAAACAAGAGCTGTTATCCATTAAAATATCACCATAAAATTGGATTTTGTGTTGTTTTCCTATTATAGATTTTTATATTCCCAGATAAACATGAAGAATCCAATCTATGCTAATCCAAAATACAAAAATGTGGGGATATCTGTATTATTACAAGGTGAATCGGAAGCATTATTTTAGCTTTAATGCAAAAAATGCGGTGAACCGGAAGCAGTATTTTAGCTTTTTTTCCGCGAGTATGTCTTAAACACAGCAGATTGGGTTGGCAGCAGTCTAAAGACGGATGAGATGGCGTCACTCGAGCCCTAAGAAAATGTAATTAGAGAAATGATTACACAGAATTTCTCGTACGCCGACATTTCAACAAATTTGTCAGAACTAGGTGTGAAGGAAGGATGCTCAGCAATGAATGTCAGGAGATTTTGTGCACACCACAACATTTCCAGGAGGGGACATGTATCAGAATCACAATTAGAGGCTGCTATCAGCAGGGCAATAAATCAGGTAGGTTTTTTTTGGTTTTCTTTGATTTACAGAGGTGGGTAGTTAAGAGTTACATTTACTCAGTTACATTTACCTGATGAGGTTTTTGGATAAGTTGTTCTTCTAAGATAGTTTTACATCATCTCCATACTTTTTACATTTACTTGAGTAGGTTTGTGAAGAAGACTGTACTCTTACTAGACTCCATAAGGCTATTTAATTTACCTAAAGATTATGATTTTGTATTTTTGTCTGATTAAATGCATGTTTTCACAAATTAATCGGATGTTACTCAACAGTTGCTAAGTACTTGAGTAGTTTTTTCGCCAAGTACTTTTTTACTCTAACTCGCAACACCTACTTGACTCACATTTTTCTGAAGTAACGATACTCTTACTTGAGTAGAATTTTTGGCTTCTCTACCCACCTCTGTTGATTTATTTCTAGACTCCATGAAGACTAGGTCAAATGTCACAGCTTACTTATGTAGATTCATCAGACAGGGTCAACATATGGTCGAAAGATGATGAGCGGGTACCTGTCTGCAATGGGAGTGGTTGCTGGTGAACGCCGGGTGGGGAAGATTTTGAGAACAACTCATTGTCCCTATCACGAAATGCGCAAACGAGTAAGTATCTTTTGCAAGCCTTTAATGTTGTGGTATATGGTGTCATGTATTTTACTAGCTAACTTTTACTTACTTTTCCCCCAAAGGGCGCACGTAACCTTAACCCCATCCCCTACACAGCTGCATACATGGGACACAAAATCCACATCGACCAGAACGAAAAACTGGTCATCTTCGGAGTGACACACATTCTAGCAGTAGACGGGTACAGCAGTAAGGTCGTTGCCCACACAACCATGCCTGTCAAGAATAACCTCAGGATATATGAAGAAGTTTACAGGTTAGTCCTTCTCAACTTTTTTTTGGCTTCAAAACCCCCTTTCTCTGATTTCAGAATCCAGGCAGGTGTAATTTTTTGTGAAAAAGTCCATGGAAAAGTTAGTCTTTATACATACATACTTTTTTTTCTTTATATTACTTTGTATGTAATATAAAGACTAACTTTTCTCACAACTTCACTTTTCTGTGAGTTTTTGTGACTTCCTTTGTGACATTTTTTCAATTCTTTTGACATTTTTTAAAACTGTTTTTTGTGACTTTTTAGATATGGATTCTACTGTTTTTTGGTCTTTTTTATTTGTGATAGGCATACTGACCCATTGTTTCTCAAATGGGGGTCTGTGTTCCCCAATGGGTACTCTGAGGTACAACGGGGGGTACATTTTGGATTGACCGAAAGCACTGTATTTTTCAGGATTCATTTTATTATTTAACAACGTGCTTTCCGTCAATCCAAAAACCTGAAAGTAAAAGTAAGGTTTTGGCTCTCTTGTCTGTGTGCATAATTATTAGGCAACTATAAGATTGTAGAGCTATTATGCAACTGAATGAAATACAAAAATGTTCCCATCTCACCTCAAGTGAGAATAATAAACAAACAACTCAAATTTCTGAAAGTAAAAAAATATATATCTGTGACCAGTATAGCCACCCTTCTTTTCAATAAATCACAAAAACAGTGCACTAGTAGATTGCAATATTGTTGATCTATCGTACAGTGCAGACTCAACATTTGATTGAGTCATGTTTCACTATTTTACAGATCAGCAGTTCTTGAATACGGGATGTGGGACCAGGTCAGGGTGGACCATGGCCGTGAATTTTACTTGTCCCTCTACATGCAGGAGATGCTGTCTAACCACAGACACAACTTGCAAAGGCAACCATATCGCCAAACTCAGTCAACAAAGGTGAGGTAACAGTCTCCTTAATGCCAAAAATGAGACTAAGCTTTAGAGATGTTACTCAGTTTTTTATGTACTGATACTGGACACCAAAATAACAAACTTTTGCTGCACTGATCCTCAATTCAAACACATGGGGCCAAAACCTCAAACCTTAATTAGCCATATAAACAAACGCCCACCTAAACAATGATTGCATTGTTTACATTCATGCTCCATCTAGAGAAACCGTTGCACAGGTAAACACAGGAGACTACGCGGGGAAGAGCAATAGAGCCAAATGGATGAGTGGTTTTGTGGCAATTCTCTACATGGAGTGTGAATGTACACCAATATCGCATTGTTTAGGTGGGCTGAAGTATCACTTTAACCAGATGCACCCTTGAGTGAGGGGTGCTTGTAGGTACCCATACACATCAATGGTCCTGCTTCTTGGACTCCTAATCAAACCTCTTCAATACTGTCTGAAAACTTTTTACATCTGATATAATCCTGTTTCCCCTCACCATGTTAATTTTGCAGACTAAATTGAGTCTACCCTTTTCTTGTCTACAGTATCATAGGAGTGGAGTGATTGTGGGTCGAGATAAATAAGTGAAGGAGGCCCTCATACAGCTGCAGGATCAGGAAGTCCTCAACATGGATGACAACGTGACAAGATACTGTACATCTAACCTTACTGCTGAGCTGTGCAAGATTGGCATAACAAGAGCTGTACATGCATGGAATGCACACAGAATTCCAGGTGAGTTAAATAAAAAAAAACATGTATCACACAATCCAGTCCTTTTTTGTGAACTTTTAATTTAAATTTGGCATTGAATTTTAACAATGAAATTTTGTGACCTATGCTTTGCTTCACAGGCAAAGGAACACCCAATCGCCTAGCAGCAGGAGGATGTCCAAAGAAACTGGGAGAGGAGTTGTTGCCACATGCCTTCCGAGCAGCAGACATGTACGAGCAGGATGTTGGCTCTTCACTAACTAGAGTCTCCTGCTTTGGAACGGACCCCTTCTCAACTGAGGAGGACAAAGTATCAGCAGAACAACTTTTTGCTGAAGAATACCCTGATATTTCAGTTTTATTAGATAACGTGGTAAACTATAACTTAATACCTTTTCAAGATGCATTGCTGTATCTGATAAACATTAAGCAGCAATATGCATGAACATGTCAAATAAAGGCAAGTTGGTTCTGGATATACTGTATATTTTGTTACTTTCCCTTAACAAAATCAAACACTTGATAAAATTGCTACAATAGCAGAGTTAAACATTACACAATATTGGTATGAAGTGCAACATGAAATACAAAAAATGAATAAAAATAAAACTATTATGTAACTACAGCTGTTGAACAAGTGCAAAATTCCAACTGGATTTAGAACAAGGCTATTAGCCAGCTGAAACAGAGGTAATCAAGCTTAAATCGTTGAATGTGATACAATCACACTTAAAGGATTAATCCATCTTAATTACACCAGCCAATGAGGAGAGAAGATGGTCAAGACTGGTCAGCCTGTGAGCATTGACAGAGAACTCATCTGCCCTGCATTTGAGGCACTGGTCAGATGTCAGCATCCACTGGTCAACGCAGTTTTTGCAGCCAACAAAGCTTTTGCAGCATACGGCAATCACAGGCTCTTCCATTAGCCCTGTTTGATGGAGAAAAAAAAGCACAACACATATGCAACATTACAGTTCAGTATATTATCTTGTCTTTACTTAAAGTAACAGTTCACCCAAAATGAACATTCTGTCATAATCTACTCACCCTCATGTCAGTTAAACCACAGGTGCAGTTTGTCCATATAACACACAAGGAGGTTGCAGCACTACTGGAGAGCAAGTGGGTCTCCATTGACTTCAACACAGTGCATATAAAGTCAATGGAGACCCACTTGATACTTGTGTTTTAACTGACACGAGGGTGAATAGATGACAGAATTTTCATTTTTGGGTGAACTGTTCCTTTGATATACATATTACATATGTTTAAAAGCTTGGCAAGGGACAGTTTCATTACAACATGGAAAAGCAATAATTAACGTTTGATTCACTTGGACACTCCATTAGATCCTGCTTAAAAGGTAGACTTTAATATAGATCAAACAACAAAATATCTTACAGACCTTTGCATACAATACAACCAAAGGCATCCTTTATGTGTGTTATCATGGTGTTGGTCAGAAACAGCATGGCACCCCTGGTGTTGTTGGCATGTGTTGACAGGTCCTTCACGACTTGGGTGACCTCACTCAGTCCTTGAGCAGCCAAGATCACTTCCTATATTTTATCATGGACCCCCTGAAGACCTGTGGAGTCCATGTCTTTATGACTACAGGGAGGGTTAAAAACAACAACAAATATTATACAATATTCACCAATTCTGTTCAGATAACTTTTTTCCTAAGAGATGTTATTTAAAACAAAATAAAAGACAAATAATGACAGGTAGTAACTAAAATGTTTACCTCAGTTTCTTTCCCTTTGTTCCTTGCTGGAACACATGGAAGATCTGCTCTGGGACAGCAAGAAACTTTTTTGCATTTTGCTTCCAATACTTGGATCCTAGCAAGAGAGGAAGACAACTCATGTAACAGATACAATGTAAACACATTTACAGCTGAACAGAATACTTTGTGGGTCAAAAAAAATTAAGAGACAAAGAGAGCACAGTATTGAAGTAGATGGGGCATGTAGTTTAACAAACAAAGCATATTTATTTATTATTATGCAACTATTCATTTTTTCAGTTAGTACCTCTTGTCCCTTCAGAGTCCACAATCTCATTTCCCTGGGCATCAGTCAGGATGAGAGGGACATCACTCTGCAGGGCATCATGTATTTTTACAAGGATACCTGTGGTTGTGGCTTCAAACTCAAACAGTCTGAGTACAACCATACGAGCAGGCTTCAGTTTCCCCTGGCTGAGCTCAGCAATGAAAACAGACCTAGAAAGATTGTTGTGGGAGTGGTTTGCATCAAGTCAAATCAATTAATTCCATCTCAAACACATAGCCTACATTACAACTGATGCAATTACAATCGATTCAAGTTTTAAAATAATCTTGGTTACAAAGGATCTTAAGAATTACAAAAACAAATACAATCATGTGGATTTATTCATATGTAGCTAGCCTTGGACCAAGACGTTCATGAAAGCAACCCCCCTTTTTAAATATTTAAATAATTTTAAATAATGTACATTTTGATATTTAAATAATTTAATATTTTTTTAATAATCTGACTAGCAAATAACTTGATAATCAATGGTAGGGGGGCTCTGAACTGATGGGACTGGGGGTACCTTTGGAAGGTGTTACTCATGCTTGCTCAAGGGGTAGTGGGAGCAATGGCCTAAGCAGGTGATCCCAGAGCAGCAGTGAGCTGTGCTGGACGGTGGAACTGGAAACGGTTCTGGCCTGACAATGGAGGAGTCTGCTCGGCGACTGGTAGAGCAATATCATCCCCATGAACCTCATAGTGGCCTCAAGGTCTAAGGTCCAAGCAGCTGAAATGTCCAGACGATCCCGGGAATATCGCCACATTGTCATCATCGGTTATGTACAGGCTAGGAGCATATACCTTTGAAAGAAAACATATAGGGACCTTAATCAGACGGCTATTCTGTGCTAGCATCCTTTGATCTTAGCATGTTCTCCAAACGAACGAAAAAAGTGTTACTTACCTGGAAAATTCTGGCAATTTTATCTCCCATCATGTCGTCCTCCCTAAGCGTTAGCCTCTTGTTTCCTTTAAAAAGGATATAACTGGTTGAGTCCATTGCGAACGAGGAATTGTTGCTCGACACCAACTTGAAGTGAAAAACACCAGACTAGCACCGCGACCTTCCTGACACACGGACCAATCAGCGCGTAGGCTATATTTATTTATTTCCGGGCCATGGACTGAAAAGCATAAAAATTGAAAATTGAAATTCGAAAAAGAGAAATTTAAGGCATTTCAGCGAAAACTAAAATTTGAGTAAGAAATGCAATAGTTTTTTTTTTTTTTTTTAAAAAGGGTCATTAAATAGTTGTCCGATTTTTGTTTCAGAAATGGTAATAGAAAAAATGGCCCTAAATTTGTTTTTTGATTTGCCTTTCAGAATTGGAAATAGAATGAACGGAAGGTACACGGACCCAGTTTTGACCCTTCAAAACTATTTCCCTTCACTCTGCACCTGGGAAGTAGCTCAAGTGACAGAACTCTGCCTCTTGTCTGACTGCATCCCCTAACATCGTCCCATTGCCTATGTGTGCGATAATGCCACCTATGAAATTCACTTTGCATTCATGAGTCAGTACGTTTACGTGCAGCTTGAGAAAATTGAATTATTGGCTTAGTCTGACTGAAACCGGACTTTTAAATGCATGTAAACAGCTTAGTCCGACTGAAATTGGACTATCCGTAGCTCGACTAACACACCTAGATAATTCAATTGAAAATCGAAACATTGCTGCATGTATCCACTAAGTCCAACTGGAGTCGCACTCAGTGTTCTGCACATGCACTACTTTTTCTTTCGCGGCTTTCACCAGGAAGAAGAAGGAGATGATGCAGCAGTAGTGCAGTAACTCCCGGAAAAACAAACAAACAAACACCATGGCAACCGAGAAGCAGAAGACACACTTCTGGATGGATGTGGAAACTACATTCATGCTCCGACAGCTAAAGGAGCTATACATTTTGAAGTTTATGGATGGTAGGAAAATTCAAAATGCGGATTTATTTAAAAAAGTTTCTGAACAAGAACTGGAACTAGTTCAATATGCACTATATTAAAAAACTTAGCGCCACCTATCGAAGTGCAGGCAGACGTACTTGGTTAGAAATTCGATTTTCTCTTCTGCATATATACTACTACTACTAATTCTCAGACTCGACTGATTAACCAAGCTATGAGCTTAGCTCGACTACTGCGTGCATGTAAATGCACTGACTGACACACACACGCACACACACACATTTCTCAAATAACAGAGTTCTGGGTAGGAAGTAGCGGCCCACTTTAGGTAAAGGCGCACTTTATCTACGTGACATAATATTCTCCTTACCCAATACTTATACTCCATACCCCCTTACCCACCTCCTCACTGTTTCCTGTGCAGAGGAATGGTCTGGCAGGACTCACTTTAAGAAAAGCTGTGTTGCTGTATTGTTCTAATCAACTCCAGTCCCTGAAAGCTGAGAGCTGGACATTGAGCTTTATTGTTAAAGGGGGTTTCTAAAGCATATATCTAATACAATTCAGGCAAACAAGGTGAAACACTGAGAAAAAAAATCTACTTTTTACATTCTACGCTGCACTGCAGTTTATTCGTGAATCCCGGGCAGCATCAGTAACAGTGAACTTGTCCTTCTCCTTCTCTTCCTGAGGAAGGGGAGGCTATTCCCCCCCCCCCCGTTGTTTTCTCCATTTCCTTTCACTCATGCATGTTGTACTGTGGCTTAAACGTGCGAGCAGGGCTTAGGGTGTAATCCAGTCGGATCCTGCGAATGCCTGCCGGGGGGAGATCGCAGTAACTGTGCTCCCATGAGGACAGGGAGCACATACACATATGCACACTTACGCACTCTCTTTCTCTCTTTCACCACATGCCCTCTTTTCCTCGACACCAGTCAGGCAGCGCTGGCTAAGAGTATGCACCTGGCAGAGGATGTGTTTCTCAACCTGCAGAAGTGTGGACTTTACAGGCGCATGCGTACCTATGAGGTCTGGAGTCTCGTGCACTGTTAAAATTCACAATTCGTCAAGTCTGCAAGGGATCTCAATGTCTGTAGACTTCTAGAGTCAAGTGAAGCAATTCAACAGAGGTGTGGAGAGTATCATGACTTGTGTTTTAACTTGTGTTTGAAAAAAAAAACAACAACTTGTAACTCAACGTTGACTTTCAGCACCAATAGCAGCTCTTTTGCCTTGTTATAACCCGATATCCGGCCCAAGCCCAAAGGCTAGAAATCTCATTAAAGGTTCAGTTTGTGGGATTTAGTGGGATGTATTGGCAAAAACTGAATATAATATGTAAAGTATGTTTTTTTTAGTGTATAATGACCTGAAAATAGAATCGTTGTGTTTTTGTTACCTTTGTTTTTGTTAGAATGAGCTGTTTCTATCTACATATGGAGCAAGTTCTCATTTATTGATATCACCATGTTGCATCGCCATTTGAAGCCCAGAATGGACAAACCAAACACTGGCTCTAGATAGGGACATTCGTGTTTTCGCATAAGCTACAGTGGTTTGTGGCCCCGACAAGCAGCATCGGAGTTACACTAATTTGTACTGCGAAACTAATTTAGTGTTCTTCCAGTGTCAGTCACCAGATCTGTTTGTTTTGGAGAGTAAGAAACCTCTGCAGATAATTTAGCTCCTAGTAAAAACCTCTTGAATGTCTGGATTAGAAAAAAGGAAAGCACATATTAGAAGGTGCTAGGCTAGCTGCCCATCTCTGACTAGCCAAGCTGCGTCTGAGATACAGTGACTCTAAATAGGAACACCAATTTAAATCACTTGTTTCGTTTGTTTTGGAGAGGAAGATACCTCTGCTGATAATTCAGCTTATGGTTAAAGCCTCCTGAAGGTATGGTTCAGAAAAAAAGGGAGCTCACATTAACTTATCAGAGAAAATAGGGTGGGCACACAATAGCATGTGTTGGGCGAGCTGCCCGTCTCTGATGCCAAACAGTCACAGAGATATGCTTATTTGTAACATGAAACAGCTTTATTCAGTGTTTGTACCCATTTGAATAACCTGGTCCATTTATTTTTAGAGGAAGAGACCTCAGCGGATAATTTGGCTCATGGTAAAAACCTCCTGAATAATGAACACTTACGAAAATCTAGCCAGGAGAAGTTTAAGCTGGTTGCAATCTGCAATTCACCACCAGACACCACCAAATCCCCCTAAATATTACACACTTTAAAAAGTGTGCAATAATCACCCTTTAGTTTTTTTGTTAATGTATATACTACAAGCTGAAAGCAACTAATTCACATTGTGCAAGGAGGAGTAAAAGATGTGATCGGCAGGGCACACCAGCAAAAAGACAATTATTGACTTGTGTGACTTGTCACAAGTCAAGTTTAGCACTAAGCCTTTGGTGTCTTTACTTTAGACTTGACTCACAACGTACAACACTTACTGGGGCCTAAAAAGCAATGAGTTTGTCCAACCTCAAACTACCAATAAGTTGCAAAGACATCTATTTTTCTTTGTTTCTGATGTATCCACTGAATAATGTGGTGAGGCTTGAGATTGCACACATCATCGGAAAAGTGAATTCTGTTCCTAGTTGTTCAGAAAAATACAGATGGTATACAAGGCTAAGGTCTTGTTACTAGCCTTGATTGAGGTGCTAAATCCCAATTCCTGTGGATGGACATTTGGCATCAGTCATGGACAAATGGATTGATGAGTAGATAAAAGCAGAACGGCAGAGATAGAGTGTGTCAAGGTTCCTTTTGTGGCAAACTTTATGCCAGCAGGTCTCTGAAGTGTCAACATCACAGTTGACCACAGAAACACTCCCTTTATCTGTTTCATATGTGACTGGTGCCTCTCCAGATTTTCATAATAATAACCGATTGCTCCCATCCTGTGGCGCCCCAGTGAAGTGAAGGTGACACCTCAGCGGCAAACTGAAAACATGACAACAAATGGAAATCAATTAATCAGTCGATGGGACAGCAGAGTGAAAGGGAAGGCGGAAGTGAGTAATGAAAGGTAGAGGGGTGTCTTTTAAAGCTTTATGACATTCCTGTGTAGATGGAGGTGGGGGTCTGGTGGACTTGAGTGGCCTCTGATGTTCCACAG